GGCGGGTAGGATTGCCAAAGCTTTTTTTCCTGGGCGCCCATCCCTTTTCTGCCCCCTTTTTAAATTCTTTTTTAAAAAATGCCAAGCTGATGCACACAAGTTAAATGTGCATAAGTTGTGGGTGTATATATTATGAATTTATTCAAATTTATATACACACATTATATATGTGTATGTGTGTGTGTGTTACTAATAATATGAAATGATGGTATTTCATGCATAAAATAATCTACCTATAAAGTCCAACCATTCATCGTTATTTAATGCTCAAAAATTCACTATTTCCTTAAATTCAAAATATCTTCTCCTCCTCCTCTGATAATAAAAATAATATTAGAAAAATAATGTAATTATTGTGTTTTAAAAGCCTGCTGTCTTGTTCTGTCCCAATACATATGGATTTGTTGCTTCTGTAATTTTATCATTCTAATAAGCAGTGAATTTTTTTTGCATTTTTTTTTTAAATGGAAAAGATAGAAATATGAAATTAATATAAGGGGGTGAGCACTAATGTACTATTGTTTACAAACAATTGAGGAAGGACGATCCTACTTCAAAGGGGACTCCTCCGTATTATGACACCTATCAATTCATGGGTGACAACTCTGTCACTGTAACAACTGCATTTGGATTTCATAATAAACCTTGGGTTCAAATGCTCTCTCTCCCCTCTCCTTTTGCAGCCTGACTGCAATAAGTTCAAAAGACTTCGCTTCTATTTTTTATATTCAGTTTGCCAACTACCTGAAACTGACATACTGTCCTTCCTTCCTCCTCCTCCTCCTCTCTCTCTCTTAAAAAGTCAATTTTAAAACACGAGTTGTGAAGCTGACTTGTTTCAAGAAACTGTAGGTAAGATTAACTACAGTTTAGGGTTCGGATGTAATGCTAAACTGTGGTTAACTGAAAACTGAAGCTTCCAGACAGCACTAAGGGGCCCCTTCAATCCTTTGCTGTTGCCATAATTTTTGTAAATTACAGAATCTGGCTTTTCATAGGGTTTGGCTAAGAATCCACAGATCTACAAGTTCCAGGAACCTTGCATGCCTAACCTCTGAAACGGAGGCACCCAGAAAGAGCCTCTCAAATGATGGACGAGATTTGCAAAGGATGCTTCACCAGCTGCCCCCCTCCAGATGTTCTGATGCATAACACCCATGATATGCATATGCTGGCTGGGCCTGATGGGAATTGTAGTTCTAGACGTCTGGAGGGCATGAGGTTGGCAAAGGCTGGTACGGAAGAAGAAAGCCATTCCTGGCTCCATCTAAACTGTAGTCCCATTTCTAAAGCTAAACCCACATGGTCCTGGTCAAAGTCGAGTTTGGATAAACACCACTCTGGCTCCATGGAGGGAAGATAACAGATTTCCACTAAATAAAATGACAAAAAATATTTTTTCTCCTTTAAAAACTTAATCATCCTCATCTATCTTTGCAGGAGGCGGAGGGAAGCGGAAAGGGAGAAGTAAGAAATGGCGAGAGATCCTCAAGTTCCCGCACATCAGTCAGTGCGATGACCTTCGGAAAGGCCTGGGTAAGTGGCAGAGTCAGGCACATCCAGCCAGCTGAGCTTTCGTTCAGAGTTTGGGAGACAGAGGCTGGGTGGCAGAAAGGGGTGCTGCAAGAACCAGCCAGACTTGCCCGCCAGAGGATTTGCAGGGTGGTGGGAGGGCAACAGCAGAGATCATTCTGTGCGCAGCTTGCGGGTTAATTCTGTTAGTATTAAAGCCAAGAGGTGGAGGTGCTGCTTAGCGACAGGGCGCATGATGTTTGCCAAGGTAGCCCATACCCTGATGGCTGTGTAGTTCTGAGGCGAGACCTCCTCAGTACGTTAGGTTGATTGTCTCCATGCTATGTAGAAGGCCTGAGGTAAGAAAGAGAAAACCTCCCTTTTGTCAAATCATACGCCGTTTTTCTCCAGTTTCTTCAGTAAAGTATTATTAGGATTATTATTTTTCCTCTGGACTCTGCTTGGATTATTTAAGTGCCTTTGCTAATGTGAGGATGTTGTACAAGGTGTGCTATTAGCAGAGCCTGTCTACTCAGAGGTAAGGCCCACCGTAGCTGTCTTTGGGCATCTGTTTGACATGTAACATTGCAAACTGGAGATGAGGCGTGCATGTCAGCTCTGACCCCAAAGGGCCCAGCAGAGTTGGCCCTACCAAGAGGCAGAATGAGGCAACCACCTTAGGCACCAGATATTGGTGGGGTGGCAAGGTGTTGGAAGACGGTGCTGTATTTGCCACATGGCCTGCTCTGTGCCCCCTGAGCTAGTCTGCTGCCCTCTGCTGTAGTGGAGGACTCAGTGCACCAGGGCTGAATCCTAGGCCCCATCTGCACTTTACATTTAAAGCAGTTTTATACCGCTTTAAACAGAATCCTGGAAGTGTAGTTTGTTAAATGTGCTGTGTGTTGTGAGGAGACCCCCCTATTCCCCCCACAGAGCTACAGTTCCAGATTGATCAGCTTTAATGATCAACTCCTCTTCCCAGGGAACTCTGGCAGTTGCAGCTCTGTGAGGGGAATAAGGGGTCGCCCAGCCATTTCCGGCACCCTTAAGGAAATACAGTCCCACCAAATAAAGAACAATGGCAAGAGAAGTGGATGAACTATGCAGAACTGGCAAAAATGACAGAAATCATAAGAGAAAAAGACAACAGAGGCTTTGAAAAAGATTGGGAACCATTCATATTATATTTGCAGAAACATAGAAAGGCAATACAGTGGTACCTCGCAAGACGAATGCCTCGCAAGACAAAAAACTCGCTAGACGAAACGGTTTTTTTGTTTTTTGAGCTGCTTTGCAAGACGATTTTCCCTATGGGCTTGCTTCGCAAGACGGAAACGTCTTCCAAGTTTGTTTCCTTTTTCTTAACACAGTTAACACAGTTGCGACTTGACTTCGAGGAGCAACTCATAGAACGCGGTGTGGTAGCCTTTTTTGAGGTTTTTAAAGACTTTGGTGATTTTTGAAGCTTTTCCAAAACTTTCCCGACACCGTGCTTCGCAAGACGAAAAAAAATCGCAAGGCGACAAAACTCGTGGAACGAATTAATTTCGTCTTGCGAGGCACCACTGTAGACTTGATGGCAGGATTTAAATAAACATTCACATTATTAGCATCAGAAAATGTTTAGAAAATAGTGAAACAAGATGATGTATTTAATTTTAATTTTACGTTTTTAGGTTTGATGTTACGTTATTAATAACCTTTTCTGTTGAGAGATAGCAAAGCGGGTGAAAATAGAAACAAACCAGAAACGCAAGTTGGGGAAAAACTTGGAGGCGAGGGATGGAGGAATATATAGTGAACTTTAAGAATTTGAGATGTATGTAATGAATGAAAATGAAAAATGAATATTTTTTTTTAAAAAAGGAAATACAGTCCCCAGGATTCTTCGGGGAAGCCATGACTGTTTAAAGTGGTACTGTAGTGCTTTAAATGTGTAGTGCAGATGGGTCCTAGGCCGTGTGTGGAAAGGGAGGGTTCCCTCTTGCCCTTCAGGCAGCAAAACGCCTTAGGCTGACTCTGTTTTTATCCCTCTGTGTTTTGAAGACGCCTGCTCTTCCCCCAGGCTCTGGAGAAGTGTGAGGGACTTCTTCTGCGCATGCCTCCCTCCCCATGCTGAAGTTTGTTCTCAAGGCGGGGGGCGCAGGACTGGGCTATGAGAGCGCGCATGTTCCTGCGGCTCGGACGTGCATTTCCGCAGAGGCCCTGCTCCTCCTTGGCCAAGGGGGAGGGCAGGGGGTCTGAGAGGAGCAGGAATGGAGGTCTCAGCAAGGAGGCGCAGCGTGTCATGGCTGTGGCAGCCAGAGGTCACAGGCCTGGAATGCGCAAGTGCGCAGCTGAGCACAGCATGCAGCTGCCCCGTGCGACACCCAGGAGGAGGCAGCCCTGAGAACCGCCTGCCACGCTGACTTTACGCGCGACCTGCGGGCATATTTGTGGGGTGGGGTGGAGATGGAGGGGCTATCGCTTTCCTAACAGTTCAAATTTTGTTTGTCTTCTCCACACCCCTCGGGACTGGCCATGCCTTAGAACTCCCATTAACAGTCACGAGGCAGCTTTAAAGAGCAGGGTTTGCAGATTGACTCACGGCCCAAAATGTATAGCATGCTATTCAGTTAAGTTTTACTAAGAGCATTCATCTCAGTGGACTTGCCCCAAGGCCTCAGCTGCCCTATGCATTTAAGCAGCTTCATATCACTTATCATAGAATTGCAGAGCTGGAAGGGACCTTGAGGCTCATCTAGGCCAACCCTCTGCAATGCAGGAATCCAATTTGAAATTATACCGGACCTCACTTAACTTTGCAAATGTGCTATCAGTTTATTGCTGCGCCAACTCTGAACAGGCATGGCTTTCCCCAAAGAATCCTGGGAACTGTAGTTTCATAAAGGTGCAGAGAGTCATTGGGAGGCCCCCGTTCCCCTCCCAGAGCTACAATTTCCCAGTATTCCCTAGGAAAAGTGATTGATTATTTAACCACTCAGAGAACTGTAGCTCTGTGAGGGCAATACAGTGGTACCTCTGGTTGTAAACAGGATCTGTTCCGGAGGCCCGTTTGCAACAGGAAAAGAGCACAACCTGCAGCAGCACATCTGCGCACACGCGGGTTGCGATTCGCCGCTTCTGCGCATGCGCGTGATGTCATTTTGCGCTTCTGCACATGCGCGAGTGGCGAAACCTGGAAGTAACCGTTTCTGGTACTTCCGGGTCGCCACAGGACATAACCTGAAAGAACGTAACATGAAGTGGCCATAACATGACGTATGACTGTAGTTTCTTAAGTTCTGAATTGTAGCTCCTGGCCCAGTAGTCTGCCCACTAAATCACTGTGGTTCTTGAGGGTTGAGAAACTGCTTCTTTCTTTGTATTCCAGTTAAAACAGTGCACACAGCTGATGTGTCACTTTCCACCTGCCCGTGAAAAAGCAACAACCCCATTCTTCCATTTCTTCCTTTGCAGAACGAGACTACAGCAGCTTGTGTGACAAGCAACCGATTGGCCGGCAGCTTTTCCGACAGTTCTGCGAGACGCGGCTGGAGCTCCTCCGGTGTATCCACTTCCTGGATGCTGTGGTAAGGCAAGTGGCCATGCCTAGAGCGGGTCTGGCTCAGAGGCATGTTTGCTGCTCAGAGCTGTCCACCTTGGGCTCGCTTGTGTGATGTTTTCTGGGGAGCCTCTGTTTAAATACTGTATAAGGCTATTGAAGAGGGACGCGGGTGGCGCTGTGGGTAAAACCTCAGTGCCTAGGACTTGCTGATCGTAAGGTCGGCGGTTCGAATCCCCGCGGCGGGGTGAGCTCCCGTCGTTCGGGTCCCAGCTCCTGCCCACCTAGCAGTTCGAAAACACGTCAAAGGGCAAGTAGATAAATAGGTACCGCTTTATAGCAGGAAGGTAAACGGCGTTTCCGTGTGCTGCGCTGGTGCTGGCTCACCAGATGCAGCTTAGTCACGCTGGCCACGTGACCCGGAAGTGTCTTCGGACAGCGCTGGCTCCCAGCCTCTTAAGCGAGATGAGCGCGCAACCCTAGAGTCGGATACGACTGGCCCGTATGGGCAGGGGTACCTTTACCTTTACCTTTTTAAGGCTATTGAAATGGGTAGAGCGTAGAACTAGGGTAGAGAACATGCTTTGCATGCAGAAGGGCCCAAGTTCAATCCTCAATATTGCTGGTTAAAAGGGTCTTAAGCAAATCACTGCCCTGTGGGATCAGGCCAAGGACCAACTTACAGCATCCTATTCTTTATATGGTCTCTATATATATAAAGTTAGGTTTTTTAGCATATCATTTTCAACAATTATTAAACATACTTTTATATCTTATACAATTTTTTGACTTCCATCAATCACATCTGAAAAATTTCCAATCTTTTTCACTTAATTTACATTTCTTACTTACACTATTACATTTAAATATCATAACTAATATCTCTCTTCTTTTCAATATTTCGTATATTCCTCCTTACAAAACTTCTTGTAGTCCTACTAGCATAATTTGTTGATTACAATTGCTCTTCAAATAGCTCGTATATTTCTTCCAATCTTCTGTAAATCTCTGGTCCCGCAGGTTTCAAATCCTTCCTGTCATTTTGTCCAGTTCTGCGTAGTCCATTAATTTCATCTGCCATTCTTCTTTCCTCAGTATTTCTTCTTGCTTCCATTTCTGGGCCAACAAAACTCTTGCCGTACAGCATCCTATTCTCACGGTAGCTGATCGCCTGCCTGTGGGAAGCTTGCAAGCCAGACCTGAGTGCCACAGTGTCCTTCGCGCTCGTGATTCCTGGCATCTGCCTCTGACCGTGAAGGTGGAACACAGCCATTTTGATCGCAGCTCATGGTTTATCTGGAGCAAGACAAACCACAGTCCGGGGTTTGGATGGAGGCTCAGCCCCATGAGGCGTGGTGGCGACAGGACTGAGGGAGGAATACAGAGACCAAAATCTTTGCTCTAGAAACCCACACATGTCTTAGTTTGAGCTAAGCCATGGCTTGGTTTAGTATTACATGCAAACCCAGCCTCTGAGAAGAGAGAACTGATCTGAATCCTCACTTGGCCGAGATGCTCAGTGGCTGTTCTTGGGGAGGCCACTGTTTCTTTAAAAAATATTTATATTTTGTTGAAAATTATATCTTAGCTTGGTCTCCCTTTCAGGGTTGTTGTGATTTTAAAATGGATGCCACTTTGAACTACTTGGATGGAGAGCTGGATAAAAAGAGAATTAAGTAGCTAAATGTGCTACTACATGACACTGATATCCCTTCCAAGAAGTTCATGCATTGTACATGCATTGCACATGGCTTTCCCCCTCTAACTTCACAGCAAGCCCATGTGGAGTCATGCATGGTGCTTCATGACGGTGTAGAGATTTGAACCAGAACTCAGCCATGCAATTTTTAATCAGTCTTGATCCCACACTCTTAACTCAGGGGTTGCTGTGTTCCCACTTGTGCGCATGGGTGGAGTCCAGAGAGAAAAGTTGATAACACCTGACTGAGGAAAGTGAGCAAAAAAGTGTATAATTTCAGGAGAAAGGAACAGAGAGGATTTGCCTTTCTTAGGCCAGGCCTTGTACATGGAAGGGAGACATTCAGCCAAACATACAGAATAAAAACTCCCTCAGAACTACACAGGCAAGTGGAGCAGGTGAAGATCTTGCTACTCAGCCTTGTTGCTAGGCGATACCTCCATTCCTCTAGGTTATCTGACTTACTGATAGGAGAATTAACCCTTAAGTTACTCACGAAATGATCTCTGCTGTTGCATCTCCAACATCTGCAGGGCTCCCTCTGCTCACTAGAGTTAGACTTGAAAGAAGCATTCTGCACTAGCCAGTAGAATAGACTAGATGGCAGGGTGTGTCTGTTGCGCACAACAGTTTCTCCAGTTTGCAAATGGGGGCCCAAAGGATAGTTGACTCCTGCTTTACCTGTCCTAACCATAGTGGAATATGTAGTTCACTGTACACCGCTGGACATAGGCATTGTTCTATTTTAATCACACCCTTTCTTCAAGGGGCTCTTCTTCTTCCTCCTGCTCCTCCTCCTCCTCCTCTTCTTCTTCTTCTTCTTTCTTCTTCTTCTCCTCCTCCTCCTCCTTCTTTCTTCTTCTTCTTCTTCTTCTTCTCCTCCTCCTCCTCCTCCTCCTCCTTCTTTCTCTTCTTCTTCCTCTTCCTCTTCCTCCTCTTCTTCTTCAACATCATCATCCATTCATTTAATTTCTATACCACTTTATATTTTTTTGGGGGGGGATCTCAAAGCAGTTTACAACGTATATTAAAACATCAAATAAATCAATTGATCCAGAGTGAATCATTACTTAAAAAGTCCAATATAACATATACATACAGCATAATTAACAGAAAAGCAAAATATTACCTTAAAGATTTCAAAAGAAAACATTACAAAGGAGTTCAACTACAGAATGCCCATTTAACACAACAAAGTTAACAAACAAAAATCTTAAACATTTCAAAAGAAAACATTACTAAATGAAGTCAAATATAAAATGCACATTTAAAACAGCATAACTAGCAAGAGAATAAAATATTTTCATAATCCTGTGGGGTAGGTTGAGCCAGGATAATGATTTTTTTCAAGTCTGCTGAGTGAGTTTTATAGTGAACAGGGATTAGAAATTGAGGTTCCTGCATGCAAATAACGTTCTAGTCAGCATTGGCCCAATATATTTTGCTGCCTGAGGGAAAACAGAAAACGCAGACAGAATTAAGGTGGGTATTACCCAAGGCTGACCAGGTTATGTTGGCATCTGGGGCAGAAAAACCCCCAAACTGTATTTCATTTGGAGTAAAAACACAGTATTAATAAACTGAATAACGTACAATTTGCTGCTCTTTCATGGCCTGCAAATCTAGCCGCCTGAAGCAGCTGCTTCACTCTGCCTAACAGTAGAGCCAGCCCTAAATCTAACCACTTTGCTAGACCCATAGGATTTCTGGACCCCTGCCTGGGATGTGTGTATCGTTCCTCCATTTCTAGAATCCATGGGCAGTTTTGAAAAAGAGCCTATAGAAAGCCACAACTCTTTCAGATCTCGATTTTTTTCACAGACCCCTTTCCCCTGTTATTTTCACCAAATTCACTTCCCCGCCGCTGCTGCCTTCCTGATTTGCTCATGAGGGGAAGGCGAAAAAATGAATTCCTGAAGAGCGACCTTTTCCGCTGGGAGAGGAGATGTGTTTCTCGCCCATTCTAAAGTCAACGGTGCAAAAATTCCATTCAGATGACGTATAATTTAAAAGTCAGCCCTTCATCCGAAATAATATCCTAGTGTTTTCATGAGCTTCGCCCCACCACCCCCTTCGTTCTTTTCAAGGCTTGCTGGTTCTGGAAGCATTTTTTGCATCCAGCAGAACAAACTGTTGCTCCAGGTCATGTCAACTCATTTTAAGCTTAAAGGAAATTTATTTTTCTTTCTTTCTTTCTTCTTGCTAGCTCACACAAAGTTTTGATCTGAAATCCATTTGCTCCTACTCTGAGCTTATACGATGCCAAGAGGCACTTTTGGATGCTGTTTAAGAGGGAACATAAGCCTCATAAAATGATCTGTGTTTCCCATTACCAAACTGTGTTTATGCAATTGAACATCTCTCTCCCCAACTCCTCCTCCGTCTGCATTGAAGGCAGCTTGTCGAACCCACTTAAATTTGTGTCCCTGTGTGTAACAGGGAGAAGTCACGGGCCCTGCTAGCAAATTTTAAACCAGCGTACACAAAAGTTAGGCCTTTTTCTTATTTGCATAAGCTTGCTGCTTGTGAATGACAGGAATGCCGATCTGGTCAGATGGCTGCTAAATGGGAAACACATGCTCGGAAAGCGATCTTCCGCAAGGCTATGACGGTTGCAGCTAGCAAAAGGCTTAGCGATGAAAACTCGCCGTGTGTTAAAAAACTTGGTTCGGAGCCCTGCTGTGAGCCAGGGACCTTTCTTTACAAGGGAAGTTATGAGAGTTTTTGTCGGATGCTTTGGCTTTGAAGGATTGGAAAGAAGCAGCTTACTTTCCTCAAAGTTCAGGGATCCTTTCCGCAACCTACATTCAAAGAATGTACAGTCTGTTCCCCCGTGTACACAGATGGTTGAGTGGTACACTCGTAGGTCATTGTGAACAAGTGTGCAGTCTGCGTCTGCAAGAGTTGATCTGTACAAATCGATAAGGGTACACACTTCCAAACAAACACTTGTAGGTGTGTAAAGACAGCTGGTCCTTGTGCTCCGCGTGATACGTGAATTAGCCTTCTGAGCTCTCAAAAAGGGCACAACTTAGGGTGCCCCCAAGCATTGCCAAAAAAGAATTCACTTAAATAATGCAGACAGAGTCCAGTGAGAAAGGAAATCCTTGACACCATTTCACTGAGGAAACTGAACAAAAGCAGTGTAGAATCTGAAGAGCAATAAACAGAGAGGTTTGCCATTCTCACTTCAGGCCTTCTACATGGCAGGGTGACAGTCAACCAAACACACATAGGAAAACTTCTTGAGCTACCTAGCCAATCAGGATGTGCGCTGCCCCAGGAAACTTCGTGCTATTCTGCCTGGTTCCTAAGCAAACACCTCCACCCCGAAGTTGACTTTGTTGCTAACAAAATTAACCCTTTAGCACATGGAATGATCTCTGCTGTTGCACTTCCAACAGTTGAGCCCAGCCCTTCAAGAAGGGGAGCAGTTAAACAGGTACATTATGAAGAACAAATTCATCCCACAGCAGCAAGGAGTATACAGTGGTGCCCCGCAAGACGAATGCCTCGCAAGACGAAAAACCCGCAAGACGAAAGGGTTTTCCGTCGCGGAGGCACTTCGCAAGACGAAGTTCCCTATGGGCTTGCTTCGCAAGACGAAAACGTCTTGCGAGTCTCGCCATTTTTTTTCCGCTCCCCCCCCCTTTTTCAAAGCCGCTAAGCTGTTAATAGCCTTTTTAACAGCTTAGCCGCTAAGCCCGCTAAGCCACTAATAGCGCTAAATCGCTAATAGTGCTAATCCGCTTAGCCGCCAATGGGGTTGCTTCGCAAGATGAAAAAACCGCTAGAAGAAAAGAATCGCGGAACGGATTCTTTTCGTCTTGCGAGGCACCACTGTAAATAGAGAAGCACCAGGCATTGAATAGGCACAACTGGATAATAATAACAACTGTACTCTCCCGTCTCTTTTTTCCAGCTGTGGGTGGCCCTGCTCCGCTGGAGCTCCTTACAGGCACCCCTGCAGCCCAGGGTCAGCTCAGAGAGCTTTCTTCTACCCCCACAGGAGATGCTGCACATTCCTTCCCATTTGCTACGCTGCGGCCTTTGCATTAAGGAGAACATAGATGTCACTTGAGCCTTGAGAAAGGCAACGATTCCTCAGCCATCCCGGCTATATGGGACACCCCTTTGCCCCTGCCACTTCCTGCTTGGGCATGTCCTGCTTTTAAGAAAGAGGAAGGTTGTATTGTTGTTTTAAAAAAGAGCAAACCAAACTCTATGCACCTGCTCCCCTCTTCTCCTCTGACTGGCTACTTCTTCAACTCTGGCTATTCACCCCAGTTCCATATTTGACTTGAATGCACTCTTGCGTTGTGGTCCGTTCTCTCCAGGACATGCCAGGCCAATTAACCCTTTGCCTGCTCCTCATCCCTGCCACTTCTGTGTGTGGCAGAGGGAGGGTGGCTGGGTGGGTGGGAGAGAGGGCGTTTTCTTGTTTCTCTCCCTCTCTCGTCTCCTAGCACCGAGCTGTGTTCCAAAACAATTGGGAGGGGAGCTGCAGGTCAGATTTTTATAGCAGCAGTGTGCTCCTCTCTGTAGTACAAGGCAAACAGCTTTCATCCTGTGGGAAAGGGCCAGGAAGGAGGGAGGTGGACCCCAGAGCAGGGAAAAGAACATGTTTTGTGTGTGTGTGTGTGTGTGTGTGTGTGTGTGTGTGTATATTCATAAAGGGGACCTCTTGCATGCAAAGTTTCCAGTTCCTGCACCCAAAAACTGCAAGGCACCAAAGCTCTGTCGCAGCATAAAGTAGCTATGAGCAGGTGAGTTGTTCAGTACCAGGCTGATGTACAGCATGCATTCATAAGTGCCAGCCTTTGCCATCCTGGTGCCCTCCAACTGCTTTGGATGGCAACTGTGCTGGCTTGGGAGTGATGGGAAGCCTAGTCCAAAACATACAAAGGACGCCAGTCCTGCAAAGGCTGGAGTATGTGTAGAAAAGCCCTGAAATGATAAGAGGAAGAGCAGCAGCAGTGGAGCTGGTCTCTTTGAGGAAATAGGGCAGTACCCCAGCAGCCTCAAGTCTGTCTCAGCCAGCCCCCACCTGCCTGCTTCCTTACTTAACAACCAGCCCATGGGGGGCACTGCCCACCATGCTACCCCTCCTTCCTTTCAGTCTTGCCCTTGGAGATCTCAGCAGGGAGAATGGGGACAAAACTAGGAGTTGGTTCTGTTTGTCATTGGGGTCTGGCGCCACCTACTGTCTGCCTCCTTGCCTTCCATCCTACCAGTCCCAATGGGCGCCAGCCAAACAAAAGGAAAATGGGAGCAGGAATGGCATGCCGGAGGAAGCATCCTTTTAATCGGGTAGACTGTTAGTTCATCTTGGTCAGTATTGTCTATTCTGACTGGTAGCATCTCGCCAGGGCATCAGGAAGAGGTCTCTCCCATCACTTCCTTAAAAAATACATGCCACTGGAGATGTTGGTGGTTGAGCTTGGGACCTTCTGCATGCAAAGCACGTGCTCTGCTACTGAGCTACGGATTCTCCTGGTGCCAGACCCAAAATGCTGAAAGAGAGCCAGCATCAGTCGAGGAGGAATTCAGGGCAGAGGAACGCAAATACATGGGGAGAGAGGGAGGAAGGAGAAAAGGAATGTGTGGGTGTTCTCCAGAATCAAGGTTGCAGCTCATGTGCGCATGTCTTTCTCAGGTCTGATCCACCTGTTGCCTTTTCTCCTCTCCCAGGTAGAATATGAGGTTTCCCCAGACGAGAAGCGGAAGGAAATGGGAGAAGAGATAATCCGCAACTTTTTCAACAGCAAGGCAAGTATATTATTTCTGTGGGACAAGGGTAAAAGCGTGTGTCGAGAACTGCTGACAGCTCCCCCGTGTGGTGATTCACTTCACTGCAGCTTCCCAGGAAACTGGCTGACTCTGCTGAGGCCGGCCATTGACTCCTCATGGGCAGGAAAAAGTCTAAAAGGGCATCCTAGGTAAATGCTGCTTTGCTTAGCTGACAAGGCCATGCTGAGCTCTAGTGTACCTAGCCTTGCTCTTTGTTCTTGACACCAGTTTGCCCTCCCATCTCAGATCAGGATTTGCTTTTTGGACCTGACTCGCTGCAGCCCATTTTCCATGCCCCAGTCCTGATATAATCAAGCTGATGTTGGAATTGGGCCTGCCCTTTGGAACTCCCTCCCACTGCATACCGGGCAGGTGCCTCCTCTGTTGTCTTTCTGGCTCCTTCGAAATACATTCCTCTTTCAAACTCTTTATTCCAGTTGATATCTGTTTTGAATTTGTATGGACTTTATGTGTGTGCTGCTGCTGTTTTAAAATGTTTTTATATTTTTAATTGTTTTACAAAATTGTTTTTATGTATGTAACACACACACAAGTGTGTGTGCGTGTTGCTGTATTGTAAATTGTTTTGGGATGCCTCATGGGAAGTGATTCATAAATGAAATAGATCACTATCAGCGTTGGATCTGTACTGAGGATTACCAGCCTTTTTTGGCCAGTGGGCATGAAGCTTAGCACGCCTTTCTGTGTTAATTGTTTCTAGGGGGGGAAATCCATTTGCATTCTACTTAATATGGAAAATTACCCCAAAAACAGATTCTCTGCCATTGAGTGGCAGTTCAACAGCACCTGGAGAACATCAGCTGGGCCAAATGGGGGTGGGGATCAGATAATGCTCCAGATCTGAGCCTGTGGTGGAGGCAGAAAGGAAGTCCAGCACTCAAGACACTTCAAGCGTATGTCACTCATGGCTGGTGTTGTTGTTTGTTTAGTCCCCAGGCTACATACCAGAGATCAGCCAGTCTCTCGTGAACCATTGCACGGAGAATCTGCAGAGAAGCGCCTGCAAAGACCTCTTCAGCAGCTGCGTGCAGTGAGTGCCAGGCCCTGGGGAGATGGGTGGGTAGTGGCGGGTGGATTTCGTTCCTTGACACTACAGTGCTATGGCCATGTTCTTATCAAACCATGGTTTATTGTGATGCCCAGATGAACTCACTGGGGTTTGCTGTTTAATAAGTGCAGCCTCACCTTTCTTAGCAGGCCGAGACAGGCAGGGACCGAATTAAATTTCTTCGTTGATTACACGTGGGTACAATTCTTTGTTGATTACATGTGGGTACAATCTGTACCACCGGCTCTGGGAGTTGCGACTCCGTTTCATCAGCCCATCTCCAAGCCTTGAAGAGTCGGCCCAGTCTTAATTTGTGTCTTTTTCCACAGGCACCTACACGAGTACCTCAGTGGAGCTCCTTTCACGAACTACCAGGACAGCATGTATTTTGACAGATTCCTCCAGTGGAAGTACCTGGAGAGGTAAGGTGGTGTTCTTCCATCACCCAAAACCCCTCTTGTTCCTTTGCCAAACTGATGCTCACCTGAATGGAGTTTTCATGTACTTTGTTGTTTCAGGCAATCAGTGACCAAAGACACCTTCAGACAATACCGGATCCTTGGCAAGGGAGGCTTCGGAGAGGTAGGGAGATGATTGGCAGCCACAGGGGCTGCTTCTGGTGTGGGGCATTGCAGAAAGCTTTAGGCTCCCGAAGACACAGGATACATGATTATCAGATATCTGACCATCTGACTGGTGTTGTTATTACTTACTTTTAGTTATGTATTTATTGATATCCTGCCTTTCCCCCTATAAACACAGGAAAACCAATTATTAAAAGAAAAAAGAACATTGATAAAATTAAAACTATATGCATATGTAAAACCTATTAAAACCATGCCAATAATTACCATAAAAACAGCACAGCGCCAGCCCTTTCATTAAAAGCAGTCAGTCAGCCCCAAAGCCCGTTGGAAGAAGAAAACCTTCACCTGCCGGCAGAAGGACAAGGAGGGATCCAACTGAGCTTCTCTAGGGAGGGATTTCCAAAGTCTGGGAGTGGCTGCTGAGAAGCCCCCTGTCAAAAGGTGAATTGCCACAGTGGTTAGTAGCAGTGACTATAGCAAGGAGCCATAGCTCGGTGGCACGTTCTGCACGCAGAAGGTTCCAGGTTCGATCCCTGATGTCTTTCATTTAAAGGATCAGGTAGCAGGTGATGGGGAAGACCTCTGCCTAAGACAAGGGTGGAGAACCTCAGGCCTAGGACCAAGGGGGGGCCCCATGCCTCTCTCTTTGGACCCCGGAACTCTCCCTGGACCACACACCTTACTGACTCAGCTCTGCACCCTCTTGAGTGTTTTTTGCCTGGCTGGAGTGTGTCCCTAAACTCAGATGGAGGACAGAGAGCGATGCATGAGCACGTGTAGAAACTTGATGGCTGTTCAAAGGTAAAACTTAAGGTTGCCATATTTCAAACAGTGAAAATTCAGACAGACAGAAAAATTGTTGCAAAGTTTTTGAGCATTTTTTTAACAAGAAATGGCAAAAATGGCACTGCCAACATGGGCTGCTATATGTCTGGATTTTCCTGATTGCGGTCTGGGAAAATTCAGACGTATGGTAAACCTGTATGCCAGCACGTAGAAATGCCGACTAACAGCTCTTTAATTTTCAAAGCAGTTTTAGGGGGGCTCCCTTCAATTCTTCCCCTATTTGCCGTTTCCTTGTTCCAAATCGCTCTCCCTTGCAGATTTAAAATGCAGATTTGCAGAAACATTGGAGGGGTGATTCGGAGGAAGGAAAGAAGGACGTACCGCTTTCCACCTCTCCCTTTTGCTTCTGAAGTGGTTTGCATCAAGCTACACTTACACGGCAGTTGCATGTATAATGTGCAGTTTTGCCGGATAGTATTCTGGTGGGGTGGGTGGGCAGGGGAGCCATGAGTTTCTTGCGGCATCTGACTGAAATTTGCGGGGGAGGGGGGAGAGTTCTGAGAGCCTCCCCTGCACTTTTCACCCACATTTGAAGGGGGTTGTTCGCTGAGTCCCAATGCAGGACTTGGTGGTTTGCACATGTGCCTTGAAAGGATCTGCAAGGAGGGAAGGAGTCTTATCCTTACTGAGTCTCCCTGGACCACCTGACATCTGGAATAACTTGTACTCTGGAGGTTCAAGAGTAAACAGAGTTCCCCCTGGCTGCCTGTTTTTCTTCAATGAGTGCTAGTGCTCCCAGTACGTTTCTGAGCTCAATTCAAAGTGCTGGTGTTGACCTTTAAAGCCCTAAACGGCCTTGGCCCAGTATACCTGAAGGAGCGTCTCCATCCCCATCATTCTGCCCGGACACTGAGGTCCAGTGCCGAGGGCTTTCTGGCGGTTCCCTCCCTGCGAGAAGCAAAGCTACAGGGAACCAGGCAGAGGGCCTTCTTGGTAGTGGCACCTGCCCTGTGGAACGCCCTCCCATCAGATGTCAAAGAGATAAGCAACTACCTGACATTTAGAAGACATCTGAAGGCAGCCCTGTTCAGGGAAGTTTTTAATGTGCGACATTTTAATGTATTTTTAATCTTTGTTGGAAGCCACCCAGAGTGGCTGGGGAAACTCAGCCAGATGGGAGGGGTACAAATAATAAATTATTATTATTATTATTATTATTATTATTATTATTATTATTTATTATTATCATAGTGCCTTGTCTGAGCACGTATGGATCTCTACCCAAATCTGTCTGCCCTGCCATGCCCACTTTTCACCTTGTCCTCAGGTGTGCGCGTGTCAGGTGCGGGCGACAGGGAAGATGTACGCCTGCAAAAAACTGGAGAAGAAGCGCATCAAGAAGCGGAAAGGGGAGGCCATGGCTCTGAACGAGAAGCAGATCCTGGAGAAGGTCAACAGCCGGTTCGTGGTGAGTGTGTGCCTGGGATGCTGCTGATATCCCACACGCGCCCAAGACTGACTGCTTGCAGGCCGCCTTCCTCCGACTCCTGCCCTGCAGTTTTCAGGAGCTTTCCTGGTGTCCTTTGCTAATGCCCACTGGGGATGCCTCATATAAGAGGAATCTCCCAAGTTCCAAGGCAGCACATCTGCAAAAGGTGGTAGGGCTCATGCTTTGCCTACAAAAGATATGAGGTTCAATCCACGGTAACTCGAGCTGGGTAAAAGACTCCAGTCTGAAACCCTGGAGAGCCACTTCCTTGTCAACGCAGACCATGTAGGGGTTGCAAGCTGCTTGCAGTACAGTGGTGCCTCGCAAAACGAAAATAATCCGTTCCGCAAGTCTCTTCGTTTTGTGGTTTTTTCGTCTTGCGAAGCAAGCCCATTAGCGGCTTAGCGGATTAGCGCTATTAGCGGGCTTAGCGGATCAGCTGATTAGCGGCTTAGCAGATCAGCTGATAAGCGGCTTAGCGATCAGCTGTTAAGTGGCTTAGCGGATCAGCTGTTTAGCGGCTTAGCGGATCAGCTGATAAGCGGCTTAGCGGCTTGGGAAAAAGGGGGGGGAGGGAAAAAAAACCCTGCAGGAATTCGCAAGACATTCTCGTCTTGCGAAGCAAGCCCATAGGAAATTCGTTTTGCGAAGCACCTCCAAAACGGAAAACCCTTTCGTCTAGCGGGTTTTCCGTCTTGCGAGGCATTCGTCTTGCGGGGCACCACTGTACTTGACTAACTTCCATGCAGCTTGGTGGCATAATCCTCCACTGAATGCTGCTGGAAAACAGCTGATCCACACTCCTCAGCTGATTCCAGGGGTGTGTATGTAGTGTTAGGGGAGGGGTATTACCTCTGGTGGGGGGCACATTGTGCACCTTCTGGGGTAATTTGTTCACCTTTGGTCCCTATCCTGCACTCAGCTATGACCTGTGGCTCCTAGAAGCTGTCAGCATGCAACAGCGGCCACTGGCCCCACCACGGAACAGCTTCAGCTGGCTGAGTACATCAGGTGAGGGTAGCCAATGGGTCACAAACCTTTGGTGAGTTAGGGACCTTCCCCAGCATGCAAAGACAGGCTCCCATGGACCGAGTGGACAAGGCCAAGAGTGGTTCCAGTGGTCAAGAAGGCATGCTGTAGAGGGGGACAGATGGGGCTTGTCAGCCTGGGAAAGGAGTCCATCTAGGACAGCAGTTCTCAACCTGTGGGTCCCCAGATGTTGTTGGACTACAACTCCCATCATCCCTGAGCTCTGGCTTTGCTAGCTAGGGGTGATGGGAGCTGTAGTTCAACAACATCTGGGGACCCACAGATTGAGAAAGGCTGCTCTAGGAGAAGGAAAACTCTGAACCTGAACTCTAATATTCAGGAGAAAAAAGGCTAAGGAGTAAACCCTACACAAATTTGGAGTCCCAAAGTTGGTTGGATTGTGCCTTGTACACCTCCTTCTGTTCAACTCCAGCCAAGCTGGTGCCAAATGTATTGCTCTGCTTTCTTTTGGACCACAGCAAGACTGAGAGGGGGGTCTTGTCCTCGGGGCAGCCCAGGACCTCCATACACACTGCCCAGGCTTGCACCCAAAGTTGGTCACTTCGATGCTGTTCATGCAGCCGTTTGACTTCATCCCTAAATACTTCATCCCTGGAGACACACTCCATTGTCTCTCAAGACAACATCTGTTTCCAGCACCAGTCTGCTGGGAACCAGAGGGATGGATGTCCTGGGACTTCTGACATCCCACAGTGGCTCCCCACTGGAAGGAGCTGAGGATCGCATTAATCTGTGCACCTCTTAACTCTTTCCTGTATCCGTCAGCTGGCCAGCAGCAGGAGGCACATCGCTGAGATCCCATTAAGCACCTCCTCTCCCCTGACTGGACCAGTAGGTGGCAGCAAGGCACAGTGTAATCTCAGTGCACCAGGAGAGATGGGGGAAAGGGCGAGTGGGACGAGACTGTGTATGTGGGGAGGGAATGTCCAGGCACTTCCCACTGCTGGATTTGGCCTCTGACCCACTGCCTGCTGATGCTTTACCCCCCAGGGGCAAAAATGGTGTCAACAATATTGAGCTAGCTGGACCAGTGGTCTCACATTGCTCAAGACAGCTTCTACTCCTAAACCACTGAATGTCACTTCTTGGGAGACATATAGCGAAGATGGGCTGTTGCCTCCATGCCTTGCTTCCTGGTGGGATCTGGTTGGCTGCTGCATGAAACAAGATGGTGGGGTGTTTTGGGCCTGATCTAGCAGGGCTCTTCTTCTTCTGCATGCCCACAGGTGAGCTTAGCCTACGCGTACGAGACCAAGGATGCCCTCTGCCTGGTCCTCACCATCATGAACGGAGGCGACTTGAAGTTTCACATCTACAACATGGGCAACCCCGGCTTTGACAACGAGCGGGTCACTTTCTACGCTGCAGAGATTTGCTGCGGCCTCGAGCACTTGCACCGGGAGGGCATCGTGTACAGGTGAGAGAGAAGCGGGCAGGCTCCTCAAGCTCCAGGAAGGCGAGGCGCATAGGGAGAGCCTGGGAGCAGGGTGAAGGCAGGGGTGGGAGAGGCCTTTCTCATAGCATTGCTGACACAGGGCAAGATGGAGAAACCCTCCGTCTCCTTTGCACGTGTGGCTGGAGGGTGAAAAGTGTCAGCCCAGACAGGGGTGGCAGGCCTGGCATATTGGTCCCTGCATTTTGAACCTGATTAACAGTCTTATGTCCTTGTAAATGTGTTTGTGGGAGGTGGGGCACATTATTGATTTGGTTTGTTCTTGTTTTTGTTATGTATTTCGTGTTTTATATTTTTATGCTGAGATCCGCCATGAGATCTTCGGATGAAGGGCAATATACTAATACTAAATCTTAAAAATACTAAATACTAAATACTAGTACTTATATTGAGGGACGTGGGTGGCGCTGTGGGTTAAACCACAGAACCTAGGGCTTGCCAGTCAGAAGGTCGGCAGTTCAAATCCCTGCAATGGGGTGAGCTCCTGTTGTTCGGTCCCTGCTCCTGCCAACCTAGCAGTTCGAAAGCATGTCAAGTGCAAGTAGATAAATAGGTACTGCTCTGGTGGGAAGGTAAATGGTGCACTGCTCTGGTTTGCCAGAAGCGGCTTAGTCATGCTGGCCACATGACCCGGAAGCTGTCTGCGGACAAATACCAGCTCCCTTGGCCTATAGAGCAAGATTAGCGCTGCAACCCCAGAGTCGTCCGCGACTGGACCTTAAGGTCTGGGGTTCCTTTACCTAATACTTATATTACTAATAATTTTCTTCTCCACCTCGTTTTTCATTCCTCCTCCCCCAGTCAGTCTGTGTTCTGTTCCCACTGAACATGGTCAGTCCTCATTGGGCTGTTTTAGGGATCCCTCCCCTAGCCACATTTATTTTTTTATTTTTTTGGTATTTCTGCAAACTTTGGGTTTCCCCAGTTTTGCTGTATTGTGCTTGGCTGGTTTCATTTTGGTTCCATTAGTAACAACATTCACAAACTGAACAGTGGAAATACAAGCAAAACTTTGTTCCCGTATGCAGCTGTAAGTTACTGAATCAAGCTTCATCTGTCCAAAACAGTGTTTAAACTTTGACTTAGTTCCTGGAAACTTTGAGCTTCTTTCTGCACCACAAGGGCTGGACATTTTTGCTGCTCTTCTCCCTGTTCAGGACGCTAATCTCTTCTGGAGAGCTTATAATAAACTGCTCCTGAGCTGGCATAATTGTGTGAGTCTCTGCCTCATCCACCTGGGACCCACATTCTCAAATGAAAGACAATGAGGAGATTGCCAGGCAAATCTTCAGAGTGAGGATGTTCCACAGCCTTGGTGCTATTGCTGAAAACTCTCCATCTTTCCTGCTCACTCATTTGACCACTCGTGGTGGCCCAAAGAGTAGGATCTCAGAAGCAGGTGGATTATGGGAGCAGCTGCTTATATCAGATATGCTGGTTTAGGACCCACTTGTACATTCCTCCTTCCCCCCACAATATCCTATGTGCTTGAAAGGGTTGAAGAACCTTGAACCTAGAAGTTCCCCTGTCTACCTGCCTCTCATTCTGAGTTGTGTCTGTATCTTTGCTGCAGAGACTTGAAGCCAGAGAACATTCTCCTGGATGATGATGGTGAGTCGTCTTCTTCTTCTTCTTCTTCTTCTTCTTCTTCTTCTTCTTCTTCTTCTTCTTCTTCTTCTTCTTTGGTGATCCCTCATAGCTGAGTAAGATTGTCTTCCATGAACACGGTTTTAACAGTGAGTACGTACGTGACTGTGGAGGCCAATTCTGGATCCACACATCTTTCCACAGCGGGGACATAGGTTTCTGGATAGATCATGATGAAGGTTTGCCAAGCATGCCTTCCTCTTAGCACATTTCTCCCTTGCGTCCTGAGGTCGAGTGTCTTCAAAGTCCATGATGCCTTTGGTAAAGGCTGTTCTCCAATTGGAGTGCTCGCAGGCCAGTGTCTCCCAGTTGTCGGTGTTTATACTGCATTTTAAAAGATTTGCCTTGAGAGAGTCTTTAAACCTCTTTTGTTGAGAACTGGATGCTGAGGCTGCCCTCTGAGGCTCTGGGCCCCAATTTGCTTGCTGCTGACACATGTGGCTCACACCATGACCTCTATCTCCCCTTTCCCTCTTATTCCCTATAGGTCATATCCGGATCTCAGATCTGGGGCTGGCCATCAAGATTCCAGAAGGAGACACCATCCGTGGCCGTGTAGGAACCGTTGGCTACATGGGTATGTAGTCAAGGAAAATCTCAGATCTCCTTGCCCTGTGGAGGAGCTGGCTCAGTCCTCTTGGAGTAGCTTTGCAAACTCCTTGCTGAAAGCAGAAGGCAGTCTTACCATACTAGGAGCCAGGGTGGGTTGGTGGGTGGGTTGCAGTTTAAGGCAATGAGATTGAGGAGACCTGAATTTACGGCCTGCATGAATCCAGGGTTTGGTCAACACAATTTGAGGAGGAGAATGGTCTCAGCAAAGGCCTTCCCCATCACTGGCTTCCTGGAGAGGCCAGGGATTGAATCTGGGACATGTGCTTTTCCACTGAGCTATTACTTGTCCCCATCTCTGACCGTTCTCCCCTCTCCAGCTCCAGAGGTGATCAACAACGAGCGCTACTCTTTCAGTCCAGACTGGTGGGGGCTCGGCTGCCTTGTCTATGAGATGATTGAGGGCCAGTCACCGTTCCGCGCCCGCAAGGAGCGGGTGAAGAGGGAGGAAGTGGAGAAGCGGGTTCAGGAGGACCAGGAGCAGTACTCGGACAAGTTCTCTGAAGATGCCAAGGCCATCTGCAAGGCGGTGAGCTGGGGAAAGTGAGAGGCTGTGCAAAGCTCTGTAGAATCAGGGTAGATGTCCTGGGGTGGGTGCAAGGGATTGTGGGAGGCAGGGATGCAGCTTGCCCTGCTCTTATGGAACTGTTTGTCCACTGATGCCTGCCAGAGCCCAACCCTGCAGGAGTTTTCAGGGCACACAGTGTGAAGCATTTGTTTCTATAGGGATTTTAAAGGAAAGGAGAGGGAACTGTAGCAAAATATTTCTGTACGAAATGCTTCTCTCCAGGTCTTCAGCAACTCTTTTTCTGCTCCCACCCAAATGCCTGTTAGTCCTCCTCACTAGGTTATTTTGGGGGGAGGTGACCACTTCCCCTTATGTGTTTCCTTGCTTCCTAAATACTCTTTTTTGGGCGGGGGTATGTCTGCAAACCTATAAGCTCCCCCAACGCTTCTGGTCCATGGAGATTGCCATTTTGTAGATAGGCACTTGCTACCTAAACATCAGAAACCTGATCCTGGAATGCAGTTGTTGCAGCCTCTGGCCCCACGTCTCAAGCAAGGCAGAGCCCTGTTAGGAGTGTGTGCAGAAATACTCTGATTTTTGTTGTTGTTCTTGTTTGATGTCCTCTCCCTCCACCCTGTCTCACCCAGCAGTGATGTTTACTGGGATGCAACATTCCAATCTGGATGTTTGAGGCCAGACTCTGCCAATAACTCCCTGGCTAGCGGCAGGATGGGGAGGCATCGGGGGAATAAAAAAACCTAAACCAAACATAGGCAAGGGCCTGTTTGAAACAGAAAATGTTTTTTACAAGCTGCCTAAAACAGGGAAAGGCAACTTTTGTGTATTTAATAAACTTATGTATTGCCCTTCAAGCGGAAATGATTAGAGTAGTTTACAATGAAAGATATACAATCATTTTAAAGGGATAATAGATTAGACAGAGTGAGGAGCACCGAGAAGCAGCATAAAAGCCTTAGAGGAGGAGCAGGATGCTGCAACAGACAGTCTGAACTTAACTTGCCTTCGTTCTGTTGCTCGCTGCTTCTGGCCCTTTGCATATTGTTCAGCTCCCATCAGCCCCAGACAGCGTGACCAATGGTCATTGGTGATGGGAGTTGTAGTCCAGCAACATCTGGAGGGCAACAGCGCAAGAGCCACAGCTGCTACCTGGCCATTTTCACGGCCCATGGAAAGTTTCTCCTCCGCGATCTTATGAGTAGAGCATTGCTCAAGAGGTGGGGAGCGCTCCTTTGCAAAGCAAGCCAGCCCCTACCCAGCCTTAGGAACATAGACTACTGGTCCATCTAGGTCAGGTTTGTCTACACTGACCGGTAGCAGCTCCCCAGGGGTTTAGGCAGGAGTCTCTTGCAGCCTGACCTGGAGATGCCTGGGATTGAACCCAAGACATTCTGCATGCAAACCCAATGCTCTGCCACTGAGCTGTGCCCTCCCCACAGCCCTTAGGTGTGATTTAGCAGCCTAACTTTCACAGCACACCACATCCCTCCCTGCTCTTGTGCTTTCACTTACTGATGGTGGCCCCTTTCTGCCTCCCCAGCTCCTGACAAAGGACCCCAAGCAGCGGCTTGGAGGGAAGGGAGACGAGGCCGCCCAGGTGAAGCAGCACCCTTTCTTCAAGACTATCAATTTCAAGCGCCTGGAAGCTGGGATCATGAAGCCCTCCTTTGTGCCAGATGTAAGTGCAGGCCAAAGTAGGCCATGGCTGGTTCACGCATGAGTCCTTTCCATACAACTGCTCTGCCAAGAATGAGCTTGCGGCGAGGAAGAGGGAGCAGGTGCTCAGATGCTGCTCTCACTCCTGACCTTGACACATTTAGGCCTAAATGGCCTCTGATGAGGTTATCTTAAGGGCCGCCTGCCCAGGCCTTAAGATTATCATCAAGGACCTTGCTTTCTCTCTTGGTCGTCAAGGACAGCCTTACCGTTTAATTTAGCAGAAATTGCTTATAGACCTCGGGCTTCCATTTCTAAGATGTCTCTGTTTCCCTAAGAGTTGGTTCTCTGGCCTATCCTTACCAGGCTTCTGTGACATCACAGCAGCTCATGGGATATGACACCTTAAGCCATTTAATGTCACACAAGCCATTGACATCTTGAGACTTAAGATCTTGAGACTGGAAGCTTAGCTGAATCTCCACCTTTCTATCCAACAGCCCCGAGCCGTATACTGCAAAGACGTGCTGGACATTGAACAATTTTCCACTGTGAAGGGTGTCAACTTAGACCAAACCGACAATGACTTCTATGCCAAATTTGCCACTGGCAGCGTCTCCATTCCATGGCAGAACGAGGTGAGGAATTGGGCTGGGGGTGGGAGGGGAAGGGAAGGGAAGCCACCGAGGACAGAGGTGAGAGAGGAGACTGACGGTGTGAAATAAAACACCCAGTCACCTTGTCTTTAAAGATAGGCATCAGTCTACCTTCCCAAAGCCACTGGCTATCCCCCAAATGCACATTCATGGGGGCTATATCTGGCAAACATTTACTTTAAAAGTCACTCCTTTTAAAGGGCTAAGAAAGCTCTCTGAGCTTGATTCCTATGCTGATGAAGGGAGCTCAGGATAAGGCAGTGACATATATTGGACAATGGTGGTTTAGGGTGGGTTAAGCTACCATCCCTTCTTTGGGGGTCAGGATACAGAAGTGTCAGGAATTTAACCAGGAACCTTCTGCAAAGGAGATGCTCTACCGCAGAGCTGCCGGGGCTGTTTCCCACTGTTGGAGGTGGGTGTCCAGCTCTGTCTGGGGAAAGCTAACCCAAGGGAGCCTTGGCAGATAAGCCTGAGGAGTGGTGTCACCCAGCCCGGTCTCCACTTCCAGATGTTGCTGCTTCAGCTGACCACCACCAATGGCATCCTCTTCCTCTTCTCTCTAGATGATCGAGACAGAATGCTTTAAAGATCTAAACACCTTTGGACCAAACGGCACCCGCTCCCCCGACCTGGACTGGAAGCAACTCCCAGACCCGCCCAAGCGTAGCCTCTTGCAGAGGCTCTTCCGGCGTAACGTAAGGCCCACCACTCTTGCGCTCCCTCCGGCCCCTTGCTCTTTTCTTGCCACCTCTCTCCACTAGTGATGGGGGCGGAGGGAGAAATTCGGTTTGCATTTTCAGCAGGACTCTACCTGATTAGCACTTCTTGAAACAGCATGCAAACCGAGTGGAGCAGCCAGCACTTTCCCTGCTTGTGATTCTTAGCAAGTAGTATTCATTATATGGGATGCAAACCGAGCGGGTAAAGGTGAAGATGGCAGTGGCAGGATGGGTCCCCGTCTCTCAGAGACCCCTCCAGTATTCCTGTGCATTCTGAGATACCCTTTGCCAGTGTTGGCACGGGTGCACCTGAATGGCTCTCCCCAGTGCTTTTTTTCTTAAAAAAATTTTTAGGGGTGCTCTCAGAGAGCCAGTGTGGTGTAGTGGTTAAGAGCAGTAGACTCGTAATCTGGGGAACCGGGTTCGCGTCTCCGCTCCTCCACATGCAGCTGCTGGGTGACCTTGGGCCAGTCACACTTCTTTGAAGTCTCTCAACCCCACTCACCTCACAGAGTGTTTGTTGTGGGGGAGGAAGGGAAAGGAGAATGTTAGCCACTTTGAGACTCCTTCGGGTAGTGATAAAGCAGGATATCAAATCCAAACTCTTCTTCTTCTTCTTCATTCTGTCTGAGACTCAGGAAACACGTGACATGAAATGAGGCCACCATCAGGGGTAGCAATGGAATGGACAATTCAACGTGCTAGAGAAGAAACTAATTTTTTTTGAAAAAATTAGTTTCTTCTCCCATTAGATTCACAAAATGTTTAGGGGTATGCGTATGCCTGTTTCCCCCCAGAAAAGAGCACGGGCTCTCCTTAAAGCTTGCCTCTCATCTCTGCTTCCTTCCCCGCAGCCAAGTGACTTCACCATCAGCGCCAACGCAAACTCCAACCTGTCAGCGGCTCCCTCGCCAGCCCGGCCCACAGCACAGGCTCCCTCCTGACCCAGAGGGCCCCTGGAGCCACCACTTGTCCTGTGCCTTCTCAGGGTTGCCTTCGGCACAGCGCTGACACCGGGGCGTCCCCGCGTAGCGCTGGACTCTACTACTGGCTAGGAGGTGGGGCAACACAGCCTTCCGACCGGCAGGATGGGCAGAGCAGTAGCAACAAGCCTTCGACGCCTCCTGGTGCTGACACAGACTGACACACCCTCGGGGATCCCCGAGGATGACTCGGTTACCCCGAAACCAGGCTGCTCCCCACCAGGGTCTTCCCCCTTTGCCCTCCACCCTCTGATTGCCTAGAGAACCCATCCCTGTCCCATGCTCCATTCTCTCCATCTCAGCTCCTACCACAACTCATTAGAGACCACAGGTGTGCCTGGGAGGGGTTTTCTGTTCCTTGGAGATTGTGAAGCCCAAAAATGGGGAGAGAGAGAGAGAGAGACAGAAAGAGTGAGAGAGAAGAGGAACATCATCTGGTCAAAGCTGAAGACTTATTGGTGTTCCACTGGCCTTTGTTTGTGGAGCTGGAAACTCGGAATGCCAAACGGAGACACACACAAAGGTGTGTGTATCAAACAACGGGTTTGTTTTCGTTTATGGAGCATTTTTCAGGAATCCCACCCTCTCGAGACAACTCTAGAGCCTGGGGCTGTGTGCCAAAGGACAGCGGGGGACAAAGAGGCATGAAGAGCACTCTCGGGTCCCGTTTGGAGGCATCAACGCATTAACGAAGGATCAGCATTAAAACTGGTGGAGGTAGACCATGCCGAGAGTAGCTGTGGACAGTACATCAGGCCGGATAACGTAACAGGCCGTCAACATTTCCAGACCTCACTTTTAACCCCAACCTGCAACACGAAAGGACTCCCTTTTCATTTTTCCTTACAGAATCTCCTCCACTGACTTCCTTCTCCTCTCTTTTCTTCTTGTCTCTCTCACTGTCTCCCATTTCTCCTTCTCTGTCTCCCATCAAAACGAGGTTGTGATACTGCTTGTTAACACACCTGGATTCGGGTCTCAGCCCAACATCTGAATGCCAATGAATTAACTGATTGCAGGTTCTCTGCTGAGTGTGATTGTGTTTGTGTGTGTTTTACAGCCCAGTCCTGTCTGGGTTTCCCCAGAAGAAAAGCCTACTCTAAACATGTAGCAGGATGAGGTGAGGAGGAAATGGCAGGTGGGTGATAATATTCTTGAATGCTGTGCTACATTTAATTAAACATACCCGCCCCACACAAATAGAAAATTAGCAAGCAGGAAGAGGATTGGATTAGAACCTTTGTCTCAGATCTGCTTCTTTTCTACTTGCATGAAGGGTTGGAGGGCGTTTCACCACAGGGGGACATAAGTCAATGTCATCTGAAGCGGCACAGTCTATTTGACCACCTCAGGATTCCACCAGCTTGTTCTGTTATAGGTTTAAAATGGGCCTGGGAACTGATTTAAGTTGTGCAACTGACCTGATCAGTTTCTCTTCTCTCCCACCCCTGCATGTAGTAAGCTAGCTCATCAGTGAGCGAGGAAGTGTTCAGAAGAGGGCAAACAACTGTGTGAGATGCAGGTGCCCCACTCACCCTGCCACCTGACCTGCTCTCCAGGTGAGCAAGCAGTGAGCCAAGCAAGGAATCGAAACTTCCACACACACCTTGCTTGCTTTCCCTCTGTGGGGGGCACAAGTTGGGCCCATAGAGAGAAAGAGGCCACAAAAGTTCAGTCCAGGGGCCACCAGAGTGCATGGATTCTATTAGAGGTAAAAGCTGGGATGTCCCCCCACAAAAAAAGCTAGAGCACTGTATCCAAGTAACTTTAACCAGTGCTTTTTTTCTTTAAAAAAATGTTTAGGAGTACTCTCATTTTCCTACTCATATTGAAATGCAGTTCCTCAATGAGGCCAAACTTAGATTCACAAAATGTGTGTGTACCCCTGCATCCCCCCAGGAAAAAAGCACTGACTTTGCAATTAGTAGACCAGTTAGTGGACCAGATCCATTGCAATTAGTAGACCAAAGTTAAGCATATCCGTTATTTTTAATGGGTCTGCTCTTAGTGGCATTCTGACGCTGAATGCCACTGCAGAGCCTTTGCTTTCCAAAACAACTTGCAAAGGGACCAGATCCAGTGCGTTGTGCTTGAGGCCACTGATTTTTGCGAAGGCTGGGGGAAGATAGATCTATTTAGACCCAGATAAACCCAAAATTCCTCCTCTTTATCTTATCATTTTGCTGTTTTGCGACCTGATGTGCAAAGGGCCTGCTCCAAGTGTGGAGCTCTGTTTCACCCCACTCGCTTAGCAACAGATCTGGCCTTGGGGCAGGAAGGACTTTCCGAGTGAAGTGCCAGGGAGAAGTGCCAGCTCCCCGGCAGTTAGCCTTGGGCACAGGAGCTGCGCTCTGGATTTTCAGAGTGACTATCTCCCTGCTGCAAAATGGGAGGGGGGGGGCAGAATCACTATCTGAGGGTGGGGGGGGGAAGCTGGGGTGCTGCAGAGACTGTGAGCTTTTCAGTTTTTTATTTAAATAAGAAAAGCAAAGATCACACGTGCACTGAAACCTCACACCGTGGCAAACCCCAGCAAAGAGTTTGCATCTTAAAGGCCCTGGCACCTGTGGGGTTTTTTGGTGCTGGAAATACAGAGGCAATGGGGTGCTATGACACCCCCTGCAAGCAAAACTTCCCCCTCCGAAAGCTGATTGCCTGGGCCAGTTCGGTGCTTTTGGCAGCCATACGTCATGGAGGGATTTTGGTTGTTGTTGCAGCAGTTCTGTCTTGGAGGCAGACTTCAATCTTGCGTAGTTATTAAAATGTGCACGTTCGGGTGCCTTGAAATCAGGCTTTCTCTCTAAAGTAAGGATGTCTCCCCTTCTTTTGGCTAGTTTCCCAAGGGTAATGAGGATGCATTCAGGTTATTGCCCTCTCCTGACTTATCAAAGGAGGGGGCTGTTTGCATCCCCACTAGAATGCTCTCTGCTTTATTCCCCCCATTTTTTTTTGCCCCTGCCAAAATCGGTGCAGTCTTCTGGGTATGGGGCAGAAAAATTTGCATTAAGCAAATTTGTATTAAGCCAGCTGACTGGCCACCCCTGTTTTGTAGCTTGCTCTCAAACGAGTCAGTTTATAACAGGTGTGGAGAATCTTTGGTCCTCCAGATGTTGCTGAACTACAACTCCCATCATTGGTCATATCTGCCAGGACTGATTGGAGTTGTAGTTCAGCAGCATCGGGTGGGGGCAGAGGTTCCCCACACCTGATGTAGCTCCTGCAGTTTAAAAAGCAGTTTGATCTGCCCGGACGCCCAGGGATGAAGTAGCAATTGCAAGGGTTGGACAAGGGGACCTGGGAGGTCATTTCCAACTTTTTGGTTCCAACACAGACTCACCACAGGGTGAAAGTTTGCATGCGTGAGCGCAGGAGTTGTGGTAAGAGGGTCCAGGTGCACACCCCACATTCCCAGATTGTGGCATAACTGCCCTAAACTCAGGTAGGTAGCTGTGTTGGTCTGCTGTAGTCGAAACAACAACAAAAAAATTTCCTTCCAGTAGTACCTTAGAGACCAGCTAAGTTTGTTACTGCTATGAGCTTTCATGTGCATGCACGCTTCTTCAGATACACTGAAACAGAAGTCACCAGACCCTTATATATAGTGAGAGGGTGGGGAGGGGTATTACTCAGAAGGGTGGTGGGAATGGGTGATAGGTGTGGTAAACCTGTGGAGAAAGTGTGGCATAGTTTCCTTGCATATTCAGTAGGATAAGTGGATTGTAGAGGGTTCTTAATTCTATGACCCTTGGGTATAATGTCCAGGTTCTTGCATTTAGTCAGAAAGAAGATGTCAGTCTGTACCTGTGCAAGTTTCTTGGTGAGGTTGATGAGCTGAGTGGGAGTGTTCCTGTAATCTCACTGTATACAAGTTGTACAAGTGACAATAAAGTATTTCAATTTCAATGTGGTGCCTTCCATAGTTCTAGTTACAGGTAGGTAGCCGTGTTGGTGACTTCTGTTTCAGTGTATCTGAAGAAGTGTGCATGCACACGAAAGCTCATACCAATAACAAACTTAGTTGGTCTCTAAGGTGCTACTGGAAGGATTTTTATTTATTTTTTGCCCTAAATGCAGGTAAATTACCCCTTGTTGTAGCTAGGAGGAACAAGCCTGTGGCTTTTATCTGGCAGCTTCAACACCATGCACACCTGTGATTCTTGCATCGGTCCGGAAATGTCACCCCCTGGTTCTAGGCTGAAATAAAGCGGGGAACAATGTGGATTGACATAACAGAAAAGGGAAGCTCTGATTTGGGATTATGATAGGGTGCTTTAAGGATTTTAAAAAGTGTTAGAGGTGTTTGCAGGTAGATGCTTTAGGGTGTTTTGAGTTCCTTTCTCCTTGTATTCCTTAAGGCTTCGATTCCTCTACACAACACACAAACACACACACACACACACAGGCCGAGACAAGGCCTGGATAGTTTACGAAACCTGTTGGATGCCGTCCTCAACAGAACAACAATGCATCTTTCAGTGTGTGTCAGAAGTTGGGCATAGAAGTCCATACAGTGTCTATAAAAACGTGAGGATATGTATTTTAGAGTATTCCAACCAATGGGCAACTTTCCAGACTTCCTCTACGCCTCTCTGCCAATCACTGCCAGATTTGAGGTGGGTGGGTGGGTTGTACATATGAGAGAGAGACTTCAATTGGGATTATCATCCAAAAAAAAAAAAATAAATGCCTTTTCTAAATTGCCAAAATGGAAATTGTGAGTCTGTGGGCAGAGAACAAGAAGATGCTCCAAAAGAATGCAAACAGGAGCTTATGGGGGGCACCCCTTCATTCCTCCAGCCATCCTGGTCCACCGTGTGATGTTCATACGTGTCAAACGAAGAACCTTGAGTGACACCCGCACCTCTCATTTAAAGCACACTTTAAAAATCATGGGAAAATCCTGCAAACTGCAGGTTGATAAGGCTGCTATGAATTGTAGGTCTTTGAGGTCATCAGCACCCATAACCCTTCCTGGGATTTCTGGGGGAAACCACAACACTTGGAAGTGGAACAGGAGAGCTTTAATTGCGTGGTGTGGATGAGATCTCCTCTCTCCCCAAAAGGAATTCTTGTGGGTCTGGTGATTCTCTGCACCCCAGACAGATCTCCACAAAAGGACATTGACACCCCCCCCCACCTTATATTTCCATCTTTCCTTTTGCATCCATGTATTTAGGGTTGGTTGTTGCAGGATATATTATTTTTTTATTATTATTTTCCTTTTTCACTGTTTATTTCTGATTCTGGTGCATTTTGGTTTACATTTTGGCTTTTTATTTTGTACAGTTGTAAATATTTGTATGTTGAATGCCTAGGTGTACATTTTTAAGCTTTAAAAGCTGCAAGCCAAGCCATGTGGTCATGTTACCCAGATGTTGCAGGGATGTTTTTTTCTCTCTTTTTAATGGGGGAAAGTTGGGGGTGGGGGAAGATTCAGCTTCTCTAAGTGAAGGGTGGGTATCACTTTATCCCAATTGGGTGGGGAGGGAAGGGGTGAGAAAGGAAATTACATCAATGAACTGGGCTTTTTTCTTTCCTGATTTTAAAATTTCTTTACAGAACAATATATACAGTAGGGTTATTGGGGAGGGGGGTTCTCCTTGTTACTTATTCCCAGGGCTGTGTGTAATCTGCACTGAAAAGAAATAAATAAAACAATGCACCAATGAAAGCAGAGTTCTGTGTGCTGAGTCAGGCAGGCAACCTATTCACACCTTCCCTCCTTGCTCACTGAAGCTATGATCTTTTGAATCTCTGCTCATTCTCTAGACTGGGTTTCCAGGCGGCATTGCCCACACATTTCCAGGCATATCTTTGCATCTATGAGGACTAGTAGCTTGCAATAAGGAGAATAACTGAATTCCACACCCAACCTTGAATCCTGCTGTTTCCAGTGGCATAAAGGGGGGCCACGGGTGGTTGCTCTGGGTCCAAAATCATTAAGTAAAGGGACCCCAGACCATTAGGTCCAGTCACAAACGACTCTGGGGTTGTGGCGCTCATCTCGCTTTATTGGCCGAGGGAGCCGGCATACGGCTTCCGGGTCATGTGGCCAGCATGAATAAGCCACTTCTGGCGAACCAGAGCAGCGCACGGAAACACTGTTTACCTTCCCGCCTGAGCGGTACCTATTTATCTACTTTCACTTTGAGGTGCTTTCAAACTGCTAGGTTGGCAGGAGCAGGGAGCTCACCCCATCGCGGGGATTCGAACCGCCAACCTTCCAATCGGCAAGCCCTAGGCTCAGTGGTTTAGACCACAGTGCCACCCGTGTCCTCAGGGTTTTGGGTACCAAACTAAATAAATAAATTTAAAGCCCTAAACAACTCAGATCCCCAAATATCCACAGACCGCCTCCTTCTCTACAGACCCTCTCAAGTTCCAAGATCAGAGAGGAGGCCCTCTTGGTAGTTCCTTCATCCTCAAAGGCTCAGGGGCATAGAGGGCCAGGAGAGGGCATATTCTGTGGCAGCCCCTAAGTTATGGCACTCCCTCCCCACAGAGGCACGTCTGGCACTGTCATGATACAGCTTTCCCGGAGTGCTGAAGAAGTGTCCCTATGCCCTGGCTTCTGACACTTGAGGTGTGTTGTTTTGGAACTCTCCATATTTCTGCAATTTTTAGTTGTTTGAAACTGGTTTTTTATATTGTATAGTATTTTGTTTTCACATTAATGCTGCGTTTCGATTGTGGGGTTTTTTGCCAATTATTTTTATTAATTTTCCAAATTATTACAAATCCAACCAAATTACTTTAATATAATTTCCTAAAATATGGTTTCCCACTCCTGTTGCAAAACATATGTCGACCTCCCCCCCCCCCCATAGCTGCATCATTTCTTATTTAGTGTTCAGTTGTCATCCATCAATCTTCGTTTCTGCGCTGTGTTTTCATTGTTGCAACCTGCTTCTGGACCTTCGGGTGATGGGGGAGTCATACATAGGAATTGTAAATGAATGAATGACTGGCTAATCAAGGAAGTTTCTATAAATGGATAGGTCTGCTGGCATAAGGAGATCTTCAAAAGACACCCGGAAGTCTGTAGTAAGGAGGCT